TAATCCTGATGCAAAATACACGTTTTTATTGAAAAATAAGGTGAAGCGTGGCATGGCATAGCTAGTAAAAGTATAAACTTCTAATTTAAAACAACTTGAATCAAATTAATTTTTTTTTACAAGGCATCGCCTCACTAAGGTTGTTAAAATCTAGCTTTTAGCCTGTATGGGATTCATGATTTATGGGATTATTGATTGTTTACGTATTATAGTTTGGCATTCGGCTAATCTGATGTTTAGCAGTTATGGAGTGACACTTAGTGCATACATAAAACTCTTGTCTTCTTGGATTTTAAATTTTGGCCTTTAACCTGCCTGAGGTTAAGGGGTGATAAGGTTGTATCTGTACCAGTTTACTGCATTTTCATGATTAGAAGTATACTAAAAATAAAATTTTTCCCCAATAAAAAGAAAATACTGAATTTTAGATCGTACTTATATTAGATTTACTGTGCTTTTTGTGAGATATATATCTTTTTTTGTTTGAAAAACTTGAGTAAAAGACGAGATATTTCTGAAAATTAGTAAAGAGATGTATTTGAAAATAAGTAATTTTTTTATACACAGGATGTTTATCTTACATAATATTATTTGAATTTTTTATTATCAAATTGAATTTCTTGCATATTTTACGTTTACGACAAATTGACATCGAAGAAAATTAACATAATTCATAACAAGATATTTCAGGATAGACTCTTAAACATTTTCATTGTAATTCCGTGATTAGATAATAAATATTTTCTTCAATATTGGGCATTTTTGAGGGTCGGGTGTGCCTTCGGTAGGAAAAACAGTGTTTGGCCTACAAAAGTGCCATTCATCCGAGACTATTTGCCGGTCCCTCGGGCCTGCTTCACAAGACCCTTGGACTGCAAAATAGCCCTGGAGATGATGGCACTTTTGTGACGAAAACTACCAATTAATTTATTTTTTCATTATTTTTAACTCTATTTCTAAATCAGTACAAGAAAAAATATTCTAAAATATATATTTTATTAGAATAAATTGTTTGTATCTTTCTTACGAAGAAAATTCCTCTTTGATTTATTCGAAAAAATAGACTTGAGTACGAGATTTTTATAATGTGTTTGTATAACTCTGGACGAACGTCAAAGGTCACTCCTTAAAATTATCCATAAGCTGCTGAAAAGCACGTAATTCTTGTTTTTTAATCCTGTGCACGTATCCAATTTTGAAACAACTCGTGATGTGAATCTTCGGTAGATGTAGTAATATACACGAAAGGTAGAGGTTATACAATAAAAAGATTCAAACACGTTTTGTCTTCGATCGTTGACAAGATACCATAGTATTAGTACACCCCGTAGTAAATATGGACGTGGCTGGCATCTGTCTCTTCTATTCTTTATCTATTCTTATGAAATTTTCAAACAATTTGTACATGCTCAAGACGATTTACACAGCCGTACCAGTGTCTTATCAAGGATTGATAACGGAACGTATTGAATTCCCTTCCATCTAACATATTTTTCTTTGATGCACTAAAAATGCGGGATCAGTTTTAAAATAGGACGTTCTTAGTTATGACAAATTGATCTATTAAACTTTTTAAAGAGCGTGTGATGGTTGCACAAAATGCATCAATGCACTTCCCTTCCCAAAAATGAACTTAATTAGAACTGATGAATCCAACGGCTATGCTGGGTGAATTTTAAAAGAATCATGTTTCTACTATGCACGTCAAAGTCTTCATTCACCTGATATACTATGTACCTTTAACTTTAAAGTAACTGACAAGACAAACTAATTCAGAAACTGTTTTTTGTGGTGGGAGGGGAAATGCACTGATGCACATCGCCGGGAGTACGGTTATGTGGGACTCGGTAATTTTTTTTTTATTAGACCACCAACACCCACTCAACCCAACCCCCCATTCTATGTGGTTTTAGTTTTACCCCGAGACCGCGTTAGTACTTCTTGAGGCTGGAACTACCAGAGAGAACATTGTATCTCACAGCATTAGCGAGCAGGATCACAACCAGTTGCTAGAGGTACCAATCCTCTCGAGTCCTAAAAAGGACTCGGGGATCCTGAGAACTGGCACCCATATCTAGACCTTCCTCATAGGCTGTATTCTTTGCAAGTTCCACGGTATGCTTGATCATTTCCGTAGCTGATGAGTAAAAGTACTTAGCGCATCGTGGGTTCGCATTAACTTAGACTCCTTCTTTCGAACCTTATCATTCTAAATTCTTCCTGATTAGGCCTTTTTCTGGCCTCATGTAGCGCTCTTCTGAACGTCGACGTCAGGCAGTTCCCACTGCCTGCTTCGTGCTTGTTTTCCACCTTTGGGCTGAGGAAACACCTTGCTGGGTTGAAACACTCATTCTTCTAGTAACTGGAATTCTTACAACGAAAGCATAACTTGGATCTTTGAACTTCTTTATAGTTACCTAGAACATGTCCGTATCCCAGTCAACTGTAGCATCTTGTTTCTATAATTCTTCTTCGGATTTGATAGCTTATAAAACCAACTTTCAATTTCCCTACATTTTCTGCTTGTCTTGAGATAAGTTCGTCTATCTTTATTAGCATCATCCTCTGCTCTTTAGTGTAAGGTTTTAAAAGTGCTACTTAAAGCTCTCCATTTTGTTGTCCCAAAGTCTCTATTAAAACTTCTTTAGCCTTTTTTTCTTTAACAATGGCATTCAGGTTTCGAACTTCTAGTATCACTTTTTTGTTGCTTATTATCCCTGTTCCTCGTCCAGCTATCGACTATTCTACTTGATGTGAAAAAATAGCCGCATCTTACTAATATATAAAGCAAAGTCGCTAAAACCGTTGCAATCGCTAACCACAAAAACTACTAAACCGATTTTGCTGAAATTTTGCCTACCGATTCTTGACACTTCCTAGATGGTTTTACTACAGTCTTTATCTTGAAATATTAAATAACAACAGCAATAAATAAGCTAAAAGTTTTGCAGAAATATGTCAGCTTTCCACTTTAGTTCAACAGGATCCGCTAGGTGGAGTCAACATAAGATCGAAGCTACCTGCAACAAAATTAAATAAATGTGGTTACAATAGGCTGGAATGTCTCCAAAATTTTTTCAGTCATCTATCGTCAGTTCATTGAACTGCATCAAGAATGTAGAAGATAGTCGTGCAGCTGGATATCCCGGTTACCAGGATATACTAGAATGGGCAAGCGACCTAGGTCTACTTCCACCTTGAACCTCCAGGATTGACGAATGCCACCAATAAAAAATTTATTCTAACCGATAACGTCTCCGATGGAATACCAGGAGACGTGTTTAGCCAGAGCACAACCTGCTCCAACACTTCACAGTTGTGTGGCCGTTCCACCGTCCCACCTGGTGCCGTCAAAGAATTTTTGGCTACAAATGTAAGCCAGGGAAGATAGCCCTGAGGAACGCGGGCAGCTACAACGGCTTTCTTCTCAGTGATCGTGTCTCCAACACCATACCCACATTTTCCCGACTAACGATGAGTGGGTGGGTTATCCGGGGAATGACCCAAAGACGAAATATTCTTTGGTCAGTGGTGTACCTCCCTCCATCACAGTCTATGTATGAAAAGACTTCAAGGGTAGGAGTCAAGCTACTCGCAGCCAGCTCTTCATCATCAGGAATAATAATAAGGAACAGCTGGAAGTTTCACCTTTGGCCCTTTTCAGCACTAATATAAGTACTTACGTTCCCTACTAAACCCTCAATCTCATTGGTTCTTTTAAGGGCCAGCTAAGTTGAAACTACCTTGCCAACAAATACATTTTTACTACCATTTCTGGAAGCGATTCGTCAACTAAAAAACTATGTTAACTAAAGACGGCCACTATTTAACCAAGTCAGTCATTTACTGGCAGTTGTCACAAGCGCAGTTGTTCGTCGCAAAGCTGGGAACTCCGGTGACCAACGACCTTATGTTACCCTCTCGATTCTAAGCATTCTACCAGGAATCATCGATCCTTTACAGGGTCTGCGCTGGGTAAACCTAACAGCCATGAAGGGAAAAAAAACTTTTGAGCCAACGGGACAGTCTCCATCGGGCAAGCATCACGAACCAATCTCCCCATCTTAGATCACCAAAACAACTGAGTTTGCAAAAGAAAAAGTGCTTTGGACACCAACGTCTTCGACGTTATACCAGGAGACGTTGGAAAAGATCTTTACAACTAGCTCCAAAGCTTCGAACTTTGTAATTTTTCTCCCGATCAGTCTGGGGCTTCAACAGTAGGCCACAAAAGATTACCCTGAGGTTTAGAGGCAATCACGTTTGTTGGAAACTCCAATTAAGAAAGAGTTAAGAAGCTAACCGGTCTTTTTTAGGGCCATCGGACGTCGAACTACTTTGCCAAAAAATATATTAGAACTTAACAAAGTTGACAGAAAACACACTTTAGGGGTCACAAAAATTTTAAGCATGCCAAAAGTCGCAAGAGGGTGAATTGGAAGAAAAACTTCAAACGTATCTAATAAATACAGTTTCAGACGTCAAGAAACTGACGCAGAACATTTGTCGTGATTGAAACAGCAGCGTTAAAATTGATAAATAAAGAATCCATTACACTCACATTAACTTCTTAAATCTTTCAGATTTTTAAATAAGTAGAAAGTATATTTGTATATTGGTGGTGATTAAAAATGTAAAGATTAAGCTCCAGGACTTTGTTGCTCTGGTAATAAAGTTGTGGAATAAGAGAAAAAAAAATTTTTTTAAATATATTTTTTGGGAGTTTAAAATCTTGACAGCTTTAAAAAATAGCCGTTTTCGTGAAAAACACGGGAGTAACTGCAAATCAACGGCTCCTTACGGCCACCGATTATTTCATGGTATAAGGAACGCACGGTACTTTTCAGCATAGTTATATTTATTTTTAATTTTTGCAGCTTATTATTTGACCAAATAAACTGTATGGATTCCGAGTAAATATGGTTTTAATAAGAAGATTTTTATTCTGAGAAGTGTCAGGAATAGATGTAAAATTTTTAACTGAAAACGTTTTACTTTACATGTCAACACACTACGGTATTCCATTTCGTAAGTCTTGGGCGAAGCTGAGACGGGGGGCCACTGGTCCTTCATACCTTTGGCTCTAATGAGCATGTCTCCTTTTTTTGTAGTGACGACACTTTGGACTGCAACATCAGCCTTGTCAGGGTCGAAATTCACCTTCATTGACTTAAGCACATTGATGAAGGTCTGTCCCTCAGCTGCCTTTACCAATACTTTTGCCACCGTGTTTATCCTATTTCAGTGGTATTTATTGTTATTAAGAAAGGCATTTTTTTATTGATCTCTGCCTGTTCTCCTTTTCTTAGAGGACGTAACCTTTTGGCTTTTCTCAGGTCTATCTGAGGGACTCATGTTTCATTTTACTTGATCTATTACAGAATGGAAAGTGTCATCGTTAGAATGATCTAATTTCCATAATCTGTAGAAATATATTTTATTAAAGTTAATATATTTTACATTCCTAGTTATTCCATATTAAATACGAGAAATTTACAAGAAAAATTTAACAACATTGCAGTAATTTAATAACACTCAATTGTCTAATGCCTGGTTTTCTCAATCTTGGATCTTATTAGTGCTTGAAAATTAGTGGGGGTCATGTCGTTGATTGGGGGTGAATAACTTCACCAGTCATTTTCTATACCCTTAATTCAACCTTGTTAGTCATATAAATCGATTATGATTGAATACATGGTAAAGAATTGTGTGTTTGGTTGATTATCGAGTCACGATCAACACCTTTCTTTTTTTTATAGGTACACATACACTGACAAGAATAATTATGCACTAACGTTGCGCATAGTATCATGAAGTAAGAAAATGTATTTCCAGTGACGTCATATCTTCAAATTTCTGATCGTAGGCGTGCTTTACAAAGAAAAAAGAAAAAACACGTGATCATGATGTGTATCTAATCCACGTGTTGGACTTAATTGTTTTTCTACTCAATTACTTCTATTCCAATATATTCCACATGCATGCAACACTTTAATACACTACATAAAAAGATACGAGATAGTTAATCACCCGATTAAATATAAAACGTTAATTGTTTTTATCATCAAAAATGGAAAATTTCTAATGCAACTTAGTAATTCGATATTGAACCTTTTAATTACACTTTAAATAAAGAAGAAAGAAAATTCTATGAAGTTTATTATCACTTGCAATATGTCACAGTGACTAAATTTAAAAAAAAAATAATCATCATACTTCTAAGCTACATTATGAATCTTATGAATAATTGGACTTTTAGTTAGGGGTCCAGGTTAAGTCTCGTGAAATGTTGAGTTAGAAAGAATGGACAAAACTTTTTTAAATGTATTTTTGCCTGCTAAACACGATTTTCGATGGTGGGTCACTGTCAAAATGGTAAATTTTTTGTTATAAACAAAATTTTTTAACAAATTAAAATTTTTTACAGCTTTGGTAAACAAAAAATTTATTCTGATTCTTTAGCAAATTTTAAACAAAAAATTATTTAGGATGTATATACCTAAACCCCATAGATTTTTACTAAAAAGTTACTCAAGTTTGAAAAGACGCATTTTTTGTGATTTTCAACCACTTGTTTCTCAACTGTGGGTGCATTATTTTTAAGTTACGTGGGTTCAAATTGCATCTGAAAGCATATACGTATAGATAAAAAAATTTTTTTTTTTACGCCAGTTGCTTAACAACTTGTGATATTGCTGACGAACGACTGGTCGTTTTTGTTTTTATTAGCTATCTACGGATTGGGTCTCCATAAATATATATGGGTGATTCTGCTGTAACTTGCTCAAATCGTGTCTGGTACTCATACTCACGTGCCGTAATGAAATCCAAAACTTTAAAAACGTTAAATTGTGTTAAAATTTGTCAACTTCACTTAACATTTTGTCTAATAACGATATATTAATTTCTTGATTGAGATAATTGATCATTTAGAGTCGAATTTTCCATTCCAACCCATGTCCACAACTCAATTTCACTCATAAAAACTTTCACCGGTAAAAAATAAAGCTTATCTACTACTTGGGCGTGTAAGCATTATATACTTTAGCTATTGGGGATAGAATTTGTACCTTAGCCCCACCAAAAATTAACAAAGACGAGTGAGTTTTCACTGCATACATTTTGTCCGCATATTTTGACGGCTCGGTAAAAGAGAGAGCCAACTCAGATAATTAGTGAAAAAGGAGCCAACTCGAAATTTGGGTTGAAAAAGCAGTCAACTCAGATTTGACTTAAAAAAGGAGCCAACTCAGGTTCGAGTTGAAAAAGCAGCCAACTCGGGAGTAATTTTTTTTCATGAAGTTTTGTGGTGGTAGCACTGAAATTCAAAATATAGGTATACCTACATAAACGAACAAAGATTTTTCATTAATCCAATGGTTCAGAAAAATAATTTATGTTATTGCAATAGAGTGTACTANAAAGATTTTTCATTAATCCAATGGTTCAGAAAAATAATTTATGTTATTGTAATAGAGCGTACTACACTTATTAAATTATGTACTTTACAAGTCTGCTGCGATTAGACGTAATTCTATGATCAGGCTATGGACGTAAATCATTTTAAATATTCTTCTTTAAATGATTTTTTTTGTGAACTGTAGCATGAACAGTTATTGTAATCTTTAATTTTTCTCTACTATTAATACACTAAATCTATGTCAATGCGGCGCGCTACTTTTTATGTTTGTTTTAGGTATTTAGCACAATATGATTTGAACAATTTTGAAAATAAAATAAAGGATGACCATGGTATTATTAAATCAGATTTGAAAGGCAAACATAAAAACAGATAAAAAAAATAACGTATAAAAAGCACATAATTTATTAAGTAGAGTACACTTTATTACAATAACATAAATTATTTTTCTGAACCATTGGATTAATGAAAAATCTTTGTTCGTTTACATAGGTACACCTATATTGTGAATTTCAGTGCTACCACAACAAAACTTCATAAAAAAAAATTACTCCCGAGGTGGCTGCTTCTTCAACCCGAACCTGAGTTGACTCCTTTTTCAAGCCAAATCTGAATTGACTGCTTTTTCAACCCAAATTTCGAGTTGGCTCTGTCTTTTACTGAGCCGTCGATTTGCTCCATAATCGTGGTTTTTACAAAAATCAGTTCAAACTAGTAACTTTATGGACTAGAAATGCTAACCAATGGTCAGTTTTTAAAGTATAGGACTAAAATGAATAAATCCTTACAACAGTAGTACCTGAAGTTGTTACGACTTGAATAGCCAAGCTCTTCTTTTTGCGTATTTCGCGCGTACAAACATTTCATTCCGTTCCGACCCTCCATGGAACAACCACTCGGTGTACGTGTACAGGTACGCAAACTACAGTTTCTTATTGCATTTGAGGCTAGTAAATAAAGTATGGGTGGACAAGTCATTGTAATACGTCCATGAGTCATACGAGCACTACAAACATTAAAAATTCCATTCCGACCCTACCTCACCACAAAGTGCCGTTTTTTTTCGTTTTAAAGCAATCAATCCCAGCCAAACTTTTTTTTCATCACTGTTGGGCTAAAAGATGAGACATGTGTCTCGGGGTTGCGTTCAATTGGCCTCTTTTTGCTACAAAAATGCAAAAACGGTGGTGCTACTTCCAACGTTGGTAGCCAAGAAGTAGTTCCCTCCATTAGGTGGCTTTATCTGGGCTTAAATGAAAGCAAAAATATAGTCCTAATGATTAAAACACCAATCTTTGAATTTTATGCCCACAATGAAAAGTTATGGTAATTTTATGAAAAATACTGAATTTCAGCCAAAATTACATTATTAGCGACATTTACGCTGTAATTGAAACAGGTGTAACTTTCGAATGGAGGCACAAAACCGAACAAAATTTTTTTTTAATAAATAGATCTTGATCCCAGATTTCATTTCAGCCCAGTAAGGACACTCTAACTGTTGAAGGAGTTTAGCTACATGTGTTAGAAAGAGATACAATTATTCAAAAATCGATGAAAACTGACTTTTATAAAATTTCGTATAACTTTTGACCAGCAAATTTGGAAGTTGCATCGCTTTAGATATTTGTTACTGATCTTGTGTACAGTAGAAATACCATGAAAAAAATTTTTTTTAACCAACTTCTTTTTAAAAAATTTTTCAAGTCGATCTGAGCAAGTTACGGCAGAATCACGAGAATGCGTAGATTGTTCATGGATTTACAGCTAGCTATGAAAATGATCATTCGTAGATCAGTGATACTGCAGTTGTTAAGCATCTAACGTTTAGAAATCTATATTTATCCAAAAGTACATGATTTAAGATAAAATTTGAGCTCACGTAAGTTAAAAGTAATGCACCGACAGCCGAAAAACACGTGGTCGAAAATAGCAAAAAACGCGTCTTTTTAAACTTGAGTAATTTTTTAGTAAAAATCTATGGGGTTCAGGTATATACATCACAATTAGTTTTTTGTTCAAAATTTACTAAAGCATCAGAATAAATTTTTTTACCGGAATCGTAAAATTTTGAAACTTGTGGATAAAATTCGTTAATAACGAAAAATTGAGAACTCGGACAGTGATCCACCATCAAAAATCGTATTCAGCAGGCAAAAATACATAAAAAATTTTGGTCAATCCTTACTCAAAAGGTTGCGGGACCCTACCTGGCCACCTAACTATTTGTGTTGATTATTTTTGTGCAACTTAAAAGTAGATTTTAGATGGCTATCTTTATTTTATAAATTTGTGTTGCCAAAGAAATATTATGTTTTCTTAAATATAATAAGATACAAATATTTTCCTTGCACGTATTACTGCAATAAACCTTTGGCGCACAATCGTAAACATAGTTTTGATATATTTCTAAGTTACGACATGACATAATATTTTTCAGATCAAATGGTAAATATTTTTTGAAAATATATGAAGAAATGATACCATTTCGGTGTTGTAGTACTTCACCATATATCTTACTAATATATGAAGAAAAGTCGCTAAAACCGTTGTAATCGCTAACCGCGAAAACTACTGAACCGAGTTTGCTGAAATTTTGCATACCGATTCTTGACACTTCCTAGATGGTTTTAGTATAGTTTTTATCTTAAAAAATTTAGTCACAATAGCAATAAATAAGCTTAAAGTTTTGCAAAAATACGCCAGTTCTCCACTTTAGTTCAGTAGGATCCGCTAGGTGGCGTCGATATAAAGTCAAAGCTACCTGCAACATAATTAAATAAGTGCGGTTATGATACGCCGGAGCGTCTCAGGCAATCCTGTGGTTGTCCACCAGCAGTTCATCGTGGTGAATCGAAAATACAAATGATAGTCATGCACCTGGGTATCCCGATGACCGACGACACTCTTTTCTAATGGGCAAGTGACCAACGTCTACATCTCCCTGAATTTCCAGGGTTGACGAGTGCCACCAAA